TTAACTATTCAATTTCCTCTTTGTGGCAAACATGCTGCTCTTATGGCGTATGCTGAGCACAAATGGTTACATTTTGACAAGTCCCTGAAGGACCGGTACTTGCTTAGACAGTGCTTCCTTTTCTTTCTGGAAGTCCTTTCTCAAGACTTGCAGCTTGCCCTGGGCGTAGGTTTGAGTTGCTGCCTGGTTCATAATCTATGCTCTTAATTGCTCAATTCTAGTTATCAAGTACACATCTCTTCCCTTTTCTCTGACAATGTGGGGGCTCGTCCGGGGTGGTAACACCTGCTGAGACAGCAGCAACTGCTGCGGATCGTTCCCCTTCGAACCCCAGGGTGCCACAATAGAGGTAAGAGACCTTTTGAAATCTCTATTGGGGTGTCGGAGGAGGACTGTCCGTGGAGCCGTTTGTCCCTGTTGGGCTTACGCCATCTGAACTTATTGACTGTGTGCAGCAAGATCAGATGCAGAGCGGTACTGGGGAACTGTTTGGCTGCCCCCAATAAGGTCAGTTTGAAGTGGTACTGAGGACTTAGTTTGCCACCCTCAATAAGGTAGTTGTATGCGGTACTGGGGACTATAGTTTGGCCACCCCCAATAAGGTTAATGCATAAGGGAAATGCATTCGGTTAATGCACCGGTGTTGAGGGGTTGTTACTACCTCAAAAGGGAAAGTGTATTGAGTCCGGACATAAGGTAAAGATGCATCGTGGTATTTAGAAATAGAAGGGGTGTGTGTGTGTGTGTGTGTACACCAGTGTGAATGAGAGTCACAGGAAGACGCCCAGAGCCATCTGCGAAACTGTAGGCTCGTGACCAGAGATACTCTAACGGAAGCCCTGTGACTCCACCTAGTGGACCGGTAAAAGGTCCTGACTAAGGCGGCTCTCTCGGCCTGGCATTGTACAGCGAGGTGCCTGCCTGAGTCTAGGATTGTGTGATTCCATCTTCCCTTCCCTTTTCCTCTCCGCGTGAGCCACTGACTGGTCTGATCATCTCACCGGAAGCAATTAGAGTAAGCGGTGCTGTCTCTCTGAGACTAGCCGACGCTCTTTGCTGAAGGGAGGTGTAGGAGGGTCACGGACATCCTTATTAATCTTTCCTGTGTGAGTGACCTGAGTGGAAGGTAGTGTGATATCCTTAGTTTATGAGCCGCTAGCGGACAGGGTGACCTCCCTGTGTGTGTGATTGGAAAATGAGTGGGGGACAGTCTAAGCATTTCCCCTCATCCCCTAAGAGTACCCTAGCATATTACATGTACATACATTATGGTCCTAGAATCTGCAGATATTTAGAAAATTGGAATCTTTACATTTGTGAAAATCCATCTAAACAATGCCCACTAGAAGGTACCTTCAATCTAGATAAGATCATATATCTCAGAGGAGCTTTTAATCACCAAAAAGCCTCTGACACACAGTGGGAGCAATTTGTCTATTGAGGAAAGGAATGGGTTAATTTGAAATTCAGCTTGGCCCAGAGACAAAGAGAAATCTATGCTCTTAATTGCTCAATTCTAGTTATCAAGTACACATCTCTTCCCTTTTCTCCGACTTCTCTATTGCCCAGTCCTGCTACGACTGGGGGTAGATCCATCTGACACCCTTCCCGCTCAACCAGGGTAGAGAGAGGAATGCTAAACCCCTCTCCAGTTCTCAGACTTACTGCGGCTGAGAGTGGGCACACCTTTAATCATGCAATACTCAACATATAACACCAACAGTACCAAACAAAGCAAACATAAAATAACAAGGGCAAAACAAATAGATGGTGTGCGTTCTGCAGGGCTCCCCCCTTATTCAATTTTCCACCAAACTGTGACAGATTTCTGTTACCAATCTATCCCTTCTGTCAGGTACTCAGGCTGACACCGCAGGATCGTTGGGGGAAGATAAAGAAAACACACCATATGACTGAATTTTAAAGCTTCATTAATAAAATAATAAAACAACAGAGCATTGGGAACGCTCCCACATCACTCAAGGGAAGAAAAACGTTAATGCCCGAAGCCCTAAGCCACTTTCATACTCTCACACGTATGTCCAGACTGGCCACGTCTGTGTATAACGTCTAGAGAAGGGGGGGTGGGGTGGATGGGAGATTATCCTGTATACAGCTTTTCCAGAGATATGCTGTGCAATCTCCAACTTGCTTCCACTCTTGGGAGGGCTGTTCTTTTACACCCTGGGGTCCCCTGCGGCGTCTCTTTCAGAGATTCCAGTCCAGGCCGGCTGCCTGTGGCTTCTTCAGCATCCCCAAACCACGCCGGCTCCAGGGTCGCAAAGGCAGACTGTTGGAGCTCACTGAACAGCTAAGCTTTGCAAATGTAATCTCAGTCCTGTAACTTGTATTGCCTTTGGTTTACCTCTGTCTAAATTTTTTCACAGCCAGCTGGGGCTGAAAGCAGTTTTTTCTTTGTATTTGGCATGGTCTGTGTTGATTCTTGACCTTGAACGCTAAATTTTACTGCAATACCTTCCCAGCATATGGGGGAGAGGGATATGGACTTGTTTGGAGTAGTATTATCTGCAGCAAGTTTGTATCTCACACTGTTAGTTATTCTCTCTCTCTTTAGCTTAGTTTATTAGCTGGTGCATATCAGAACCAATAGTTCTTCTTTCTTATATAGTGCCAGTTGAGATGTTGTCGTACTGTATAGCTGAGCGTTCCTCTGGGGTATATCTCAGAGATAACCTAGCACAGGGGTCAGTAACCTTTCAGAAGTGGTGTGCCGAGTCTTCATGTATTCGCTCTAATTTAAGGTTTTGCGTGCCAGTAATACAATTTAATGTTTTTAGAAGGTCTTTTTCTATAATATACAATTAAACTATTGTTGTATGTAAAGTAAACAAGGTTTTTAAAATATTTAAGAAGCTTCATTTAAAATTAAATTAAAATACAGAGCCCCCCCAGACCAGTGGCCAGGACCCAGGCAGTATGAGTACCACTGAAAATCAGCTCGTGTGCCACCTTTGGCATGCGTGCCATAGGTTGCCTATCCCTGAACCTAGCACCAGGGAAGGAATTTTATACTCCAGTCCTGATGGCTCTCATGTCAAAAGTAGAGAAGCTACACATGAGATGTGAATGCTGCCAATCTTTGTCTGTATGAAATTTTAGTTTGTACTGACTTCACTAGTGCTTTTTATGTAGCCTGTTGTAAAACTAGGCAAATATCTAGATGAGTTGATGTACCCCCTGGAAAACCTTGGAGTATCCCCAAGGTATGTGTACCCCTGGTTGAGAACCATTGATTTAGAGGAAAAAGTCGTTGATACCTGCTCCCCACACTCTGGAGACAGCAGGATCTTGCTATCTGATACAACCCTTAACCTCTCTTAGATGGCATTCTTGCAGTCATCTGAAAATTCAGAGGTCCTTGCTGAGATTTTACTTGGGAGAATTCCCACAGAAGGCAATAGGAGTTTTGCCCGAGTAAGGACTGTGTGAAAACTGCATCAGGACTTCAGGACCTATCTAACTTCCCTGGGGCTTTTACACATTGCCCATCACTGAGGGATAATCTAACCACTACACAAAGCTGGCTCAGTGTTTGGTGAGATTAATAGGAAAGCTTTTCTTCTGTCTCCGTGGCCATTCAAGGGGTTGAATAATTTTCCAATGTATCTGGTCCACTTTTTTCTTTTCTTGGAGGTGCTATTTTCTTGTCAAGACAAGTTGTGAGAACACAAGAGAGAGTCAGATTGTACAAATAACTCTCCGGAGAGTAGAACAAATGCTCAGTCCATTGTACGGTCATTGCACAACACAAAGCCAAAGGCCGTTGCTTCCATAGGGCTTCCAACTATGCTTGGGACCCTTGCAACATGAAGAGATGGGCTTGAACTAGAAACCCTGCATCTAACCATATTGAACTTCAGGGTAGTTCACACCTGGATCTAAACTTTACAGCTTATGCCCAAAGCTCAACATAGCCAAGGACCACTGTCAAGGTTCCTTCCTCACTCTGAACTTTAGGGTACAGATGTGGGCGTCCTGCATGAGAAGCTCTAAGCTCAATTAACAGCTTAGATCTGGTCTGGCTGCCACCACTCCCAAGCACTAATTCCCTTCCCTGGGTAGCCTTGAGAGACTTCACCAATTTCCTGGTGAACACAGATCCAAACCCCTGGGATCTTAACACAAGGAGAAATTAACCATCCCCCGTCCTTTCTCCCACCAACTCCTGGTGGATCCAGATCCAACCCCTTGGATCTAAAAACAAGGAAAAATCAATCAGATTATTAAAAAAGGCTTTTAATTAAAGAAAAGAAAGGTAAAAGAAAACCCTCTGAGAGAGATTAGCATACCAGCTACTCTCACAGACAACAGATTCCAAACACAGAGGATGTTCCCCTGGGCAAAAACTTACACAAAAAATACCCAAATACCCAATTTGACTATTCCTCTAATTGCACAAGACAAGTTACAAAGAAATAAACATAAACCTATTTATTTCCTTCACTAATACTCTCTACTTAATAAGAGGCTGAATTCTGGAGCTCCAGTCCGGTCCAAAGTGAAAAATGACCCAGACAAAGGGAACTTCCCTCCTTCCTTTGGTTCCTCTGGTCAGGTGTCAGCTAGGCTAGGTGAACTTCTTAACCCTTTACAGGTAAAAGAGGCATTAACCCTTAACTATCTGTTTATGACAACCACATTCAGAAACAGTACGAGAAACTTGCCAGGGAGCATGGTCTATAGCAGCATTTAAAAAACCCAAATCCCTGTTCTCTGTGGACACTGAAATCACGCTATGAAATGATTGTGAAACATCATCCTGGCCCCATGCCTGACCATCATTTTAGTGCATGGTGGTACCTAATATAATTTCCTAGTGTGGACAGGCCTAGAGAGAGATCCCTCCTCCTATGCCCCTTTGCTCTGTGTGCAGTTCCCCTGTCCCTCAGCCTTGTTTTGTACTTGACCAAATTCCATTTTCTCTTGCACATACCCTTCTGCTGAGCCCTCCACGTCTCCCCTTTCTCTGCTTGACACAGGGTGGAATGTACATCTTCCAGCTGTTTGATTATTATGCTGCCAGCGGTACGTGCCTACTGGTCCTGACCATTTTTGAAGTCATCTGTGTTGGCTGGGTGTATGGTAAGTGGAACACAAGGACCCAGGCTGCTATGGGAGAGATGGGAATAGCCGTGTCAGCCCCATGGAAAAGCAGGAGTGCCTCGTGCTTCTGATTTAATCTGTTCACCCATGGGATTCCTCAGTCCCCATACACTTAGTGTAGGAATGATTCTTATCTCTGCTTTGAAAGGGATTTTCCCAGGAAGAGAAGTGAATTCAGTCTTCCTGCTCATTCAGGCATAGGTTCTGTCTCCCACGCACTGTGCCGTTCTGCCAGGGGACCTCTAGCCCTTTCTGGCTGACACAGACTACACTCATTTAGAGCAGAAGAGGATTCTCCATCGTAGGAGTGACACTGGCTGCCATTTTATGGCTGACCTGTCATGCGATCTCCCTCTGTCTTTCTGTTAATTTAATCCTGACAATTTATTTACCATGTAATTCTATATACTGCCGGAGTCTGACTTAGCGCGCATTTGCTTCTTTATCCCCAAGTCT